TAAGTTCTAGAAGTGGCGGTTGTATAGGTTATAGAATTGTGGGTTGTATATGTTGTACAAATTATAGAAGTGTGGGTTGTGAATGTTATAGAAGTTACAGGAGTGTGGGTTGTGCACGTTATAGAAGTGTGAGTTGTTACACATGGTATCTAAGTTCTAGAAGTGGCGGTTGTATAGGTTATAGAATTGTGGGTTGTATATGTTGTACAAATTATAGAAGTGTGGGTTGTGAATGTTATAGAAGTTACAGGAGTGTGGGTTGTGCACGTTATAGAAGTGTGAGTTGTTACACATGGTATCTAAGTTCTAGAAGTGGCGGTTGTATAGGTTATATTCAGATTCAAGCCTGAATGCCGTCATTGGGGGAACAGAGGACCGCAGCAGTACCGTTAAAGGTAAAAAGTTATCTATACAGAATTCCCGTGTGATGCCTAATCGGCACTTCGCTGACTTCTATAATTCTTCTATCTCGACTTCGTCCGTAGTATTTAGCAGAGAAAACAAACTCGTTTAATTACGTGTTTTCGTGGGAAGTAAATGTTGTGGTTTTAAGATAGCAGATACACCAAATAGAGACTTCATTTGTGCTCGACAGATGGAGTGTTTTCTTATAAATAGAGAATAATAATAAGGAAAATGTATTTTATATTATACTTGAAATCTTATTATAGGCCTAATCATTAGCAATTTTTAAGTTAAAATGGAGGACGTTGTGTAATATAGGTGTGCTAGTTGGTCACGTGAAGCTTGTCGCCTTGAGGGTTAGTGTCAGCGTGAGAAAGTTTGTTTAACTGTGTGAAACATGTTTAAATCAAAGCATCGCTCTTGAACAAACAAACAGTAACTCTTTCAACATGACTGGTGCGGTGTTTTCTTGTTGTTGTTTTTTTCTTTCGTCGTTGATATACAACTTTTAACGTTAGAGCAACGTTAAAAATATGTTTTTCTGGTCATATTTTCCTGTTATAATTAACTGAAACGAACGATTTAGATGGGAATATAGTTTCTAACAAATCGCTATATACACAATGGGCTATTTGTGCTCTGTTCACTGAAGGTAACGAAACCCACAATCCAGTCTTACAGCCGAGCCACCAGGGGGCTTCATCTTTTTATATCTTTTTTGAAGAATCGCTTTTTTTAAAGTCACTTTGTTTTCCCATGTTTTAAAGGTAGGGTTTCCAACGCTACGATCCGGGTTTCGATTCGCCGCGGTGAACACAACAGATAGCTCGTTGTGACTTGCTCTAAAAAACAAACAAGGTACCGTTGTAAGAAGAATACCTGTAATTCCCACAACAAACGACCTTCGCCAGAAGTTCGCGTCATCAAGAAAAAACAAAAAATAACGGCGGAGATCAATAAAATTAAAATCCCGTATCGCGACACACAAAAAAAAAAATAAAGTTATACTATAAGGAAATATTTTTGCTTGTTTGTGTTTTTTTATGCGTATATAACCACATCTATAAAGAATGTACCAGTCATGTTATTATTACCACCAAAAAGTTGAGGTTTGTATTCTAAGAAAATGCGATTCTGCTTACCCTAAGTGATAACACAGACTGTAAGATCACGTGAGCGCTAGTTGACGAAGCACGTGATCTGCTAAACGGAAGCGCTGTGAAACCAGAGTTCAGAATGTTTTTTTTTTAGAAGCGAGAGGGG